TATATATATATATATATATATATATATATATATATATATATATATATATATATATATATATATATATATATATATATATATATATATATATATATATATATATATATATATATATATATATATATATATATATATATATATATATATATATATATATATATATATATATATATATATATATATATATATATATATATATATATATATATATATATATATATATATATATATATATATATATATATATATATATATATATGATGTTTAGAGGAAAAGGAGAACGAATACCAAAAATCTAGCCAGCTATAGGTTTTCTGTTCGCTGAGACCGAAATTCTGGCACACATACAATTCAGTAGGCCACTCCAAGAGAAAGTGCTCCCGAGAACAAGATGTGTTGCAGTATGTTGGCTGCAAAAAAACTGCTGAATGCGAAACCAGCAGTTGTACGTCGTGTTCGTAGAATTCACAACAGCTTTGATGCAGTGAACAGCGCGAATCGACGTGAACCGCCTTCGGAAAACTCATCTACCAGAAACAACTGTCGATATAATTAAATAGTTTCATTCCAGTGTGAAGGGATGAGTACATTCTAAACCACCCATGTCGCCTTCCTAGTCAGTACCTATGAGGAAGTACTGAAGAGTGGATACCAACTTACTGCTAGCTAAACTTTTCTCTTCAAACAGGGATGTTTTTCGGCGAAGACATAGGCAGCTTCCATAGAGAACTGTGCCCTGGTTGAGTATTCGCAATTGGACCGAGGAAGTCTAATAACAACGGATATCTCGGTAGTGTTTGACCTCCGTCTAAACAGGAATACTTCTAAAACACCTGCCCTTCATTAGCCCGCTCCGGAGTCAGGAAAAAAGGCATTCTACACTCGGACTAATGGTTGCAGTGTAGCGTAGTATAGTATAGTCAACACGGTTTGCAGAAATCTGGCCACCTGACAACCCTCTGTATACATGTGACATTTAAAACCGACCTAAATGCTAGAACTGCTCAGTCTGGCTGCGCCATCGACCATATATATAAATGCACGCGAAACGAACAGAATTGGCCTGTGGCCAAGGACGTTGTAGTGTATTATTAGCTTTTGCCTCCACTACTGTATGGCGTCGAAGCGTGGGCTTTCAGCTGCCAGCTAATTAGAATTTTTCGAGTATTGCATTCTCATTGCATTCGAATCCCATTGCTAGATAGATTCTCGAACCGTGGATATCTCAACTGAGTCATGGAGTGCACACAAATCCAGGCCCGTGCACGCTGGCTAGGTCACGTGAAATGTCTGGTCGGTAACCGTACTCTGGAAACAGCGACCCGTTGGTTAAATAATGGGGCTTGAATTTAGGAACGGATGAAAGCTTGCTGTCGCGAAATCTCCGGGGTAAGTCTGAAAAGGCGTAATCATGATCTTATCCCGAGAAAATCAGACTCCACCAAACTGCTATCTGTGCAGGCTTGAAAAGGCTTGAGGTGAGGCACATTTCAAAGCACGAGCGCATTGTTTGAGACGGTCGTACCGTAAGAATACCATCCTGCACCCTTCCGTATAATCGGACTCACCAGCCACTAGCGCATTAAATATGACCCAACAGGAAAGCACTAGTGAATGGTCTTAGGTAAGCGTGCCCCACTATCTACTCAGCATCTCTTAAACTCCTCTTCCAGACCACGAGTTAATGTACAAGGAGCCATCCGATCACTGATTCACTATCTAGCTCTTCATTCCCACCCAAAATATGTGGTTATGGTGATACCTAGAAGAACATCGTCAAGGTAATTTATTTCGCAGAAGTGAATTGTCTTGCGGAAAATTTGATTCGATACACAGTCCCCAACACAAAGAACCGATACTGATGTACTTTGTTACATTTCAGTTATATGACGTGTTGTTCACCCCAAGCATGTTTGCCCAACGATCATATCCCCCCCGGGTGTATATCGGGTGTCACAGACTTAAACGTAATGCGCTACGTTTGACAACCGTCCAACCGCGTGTAGTTTACACATAAAGGTGCAAGTGCAAACACTTCAGCCAGCAAAATGAGGAATCCAAAGTGTGGGCGAACATGTAGCCTATGTTTCTCAGTCAACTCTTTACTTCCCATCCGTTGCCCAAATCTCAGTGCACGAATCCGAGATACACAATTAATTTAAGATCCGTCACGTGAACGTTTTCGTCTTTACTTAGACTATCAGATTGGTATGAGCAACCAGAACCTCCGGATGCACCCCACTAAAGGGAATGCTTTGGTGTGGTTGAGAACTTCGTGATCCAATCACACCTTCCCTTTAGAAATTCGGTTAAAATCCCGGACCGGTATTCATCAGGCGCTCCACAAGATTGGGTGGCTAATTGGGTGTAAGTTACTTACTATTCATCAGTAGCCAGACGAGTGCGTGGATTAGTCAACATCTGGTTAGACATTTTTCAGTTGAAATTTGTGGAGCTTCAAAATGGTGTAAAATTAAACGCATTGCTACTTACGTTTAATCGTAAACGAAGTTCACCTAAAATATCTTCAAACGTGTTCTCAAGCGAACAAAACGTATCTTTGGAGAAGAGTTCATCCACTCGATATGAACCAATCTGTCGGTAATCAATATTGGGATCCTCGTGGGATGCTGGTAAATTTTTCTCAAATAAGGCGTTGTTTGGTTTACTTACCAGGAGTGTCAGTAAGATGGAAGGGAACATTTTCAGGATTAATATTGCACTCAATATCGCCATGATAACTGGTGGAATCTGCAACAGTGTTCGGTGGTCCATCGTCTTCCAAAGGCTTTTCTGAAGGATAAAAGAATGGATATTACGTGTGACAGTGATTTTGTCTTGCCGTTCACACATGAGCGTGAAAATTACACATTTTTATCAAAGAGACCCTGATCAAGTGTTATCCTTCGTGACCTTGACACTTACCAGGGAAGTGGACAGTAGTATGACCTACTTCGAGGACCAGCGGCAGACTGAACGGATATGGCCAGTAAGAAACAGTGGCGCCTTACTGACTGACATGGATTTGAGAGGTGGCGTCTGGCAGATCACCATAAACCACTAGCATCAGTATTTTAAAGAGACAGGTTGTTTTAGAAATATCTATAACAAATAAAGGACGCAGTTATGAGCGACTGTACAGTACAATGATCAGGCAAACTTATGGATAAAATCTCTCTCTCTTTCTCTTGAGTAAAAGTTCAAGCACATATTTAAAGCCAACATATTAACTACTTAGAAACGTGTGAATAAACCAGTCGACGCAGCAGACGTAGACCGGCGGAGGTTAACAGTGTACATCTTATTAACAAAACACTAAATCTTGGCAGATCCCAGTAGTACTGGCTGGGCATCTTGCTGACAGCATGCTATATCAGAAGAAGATTCTTAGGGACTCAGATGCGCGGTATGCGTGAGTGTAAACAAAAGAAAGGTAAACTAAAACGAGTGCGTAACTGTTTTACGACACGAATAAAAGTTTAGCATAAAAAACAGTGCTAACGTGGTCGAATGCCCAAGTATCTGAATGTGGGACTGAACAAGCTAGGTGACGAACAGATCTGTTTTGAATAGCATAACGAACAGCAACATCGTGATGGATGAGAAAAGCCGGATTACGAGAACGGAAAATCGACAGACTTCCATGTATACATATGACCTTTAGTTGAAACGATAATGAACACCATAAATCGCCGAAATAATGGTGTGATAAACTGGACAAGGGTGTGCGGGTCACTAAACATTTTGGGGCAGATGACCTGAGCCATCTGAGAAGTCGTTCCTTGAGGAGCCAGATTACACGCGTGAACACTTGATGTGGATGCAGTGACTGAAGAATGAGTGGCGTGATATCTTGTCTGAGTGCTAGCTAATCATAAACAAGCATTCACCACATACAAACAATGGGACATGGTAATGAATGCTTCCCGAATATAGGTAAGCACGCGCCTTTCGCGGCATACTGAAGGTATATAGCAGCAGTTTCTTTATTTGGGAATATTACTTTGTGGACGCTGTATAATTTTTCTGGGAAACGATAAACTTGATCGTTTGTCCGCAATAATTACAAATGAACTGGTCGAAGGTTGGAGGTGCACTCTGCGACACTCACTATAAGGACCTCTACAACTGATTCTGCAGCACTTCAAAGTCTAGTACCTCAAACTATTATTGATTTTCCTGACAGCTCCAGTGCCCGCCCTGTAGAAAAAATAATCGAGCTGAAAAACTGGCGGTAATTGGAACGAGTTTGAGATAAAAACTTTACATATCTGCCAATGAGTTTTCTTAACGAAGAGACCAACAGACGATGGATTCTGACAGTGATGAAATCATGCTGACGATACAGCACGTCAAGCCTAAACTACCGCTTGAAAGTTCTGATCGAGAACGCACCGTCCACAGTAAGAGTGCTAATTTGAGGAGTTTTGGAGATCATAAATTAGAAAATATCTGTGGAGTACGAAGAAATTCGAACCCACAGGACAGTGCTGAAATTCCACAGAAATTGTCTAGAGAATGCATCTGTCAAAAAACTGATGTGGAAACAGTGCAGTTCATTCGTTCCAACGGTCTTACTTCCTGTTTGGCTCTGCAAACTTCTAAGTTATTTTCTGCAATGTGACTGGCTCGTTTCAAATCTGTCATCAAGTCATCGATCACGTGATCCTTCCTTGCAATCATTCGCTCCTGGTTTTTCACCAACTCTCGCAGGCTCAGTACTTGATCCCGCAGTTGTTGGGCTGTTAATAGAACGCTGAAAAAAAGTTGAAAAGAGTAGATTAGTGACGATACGATTATTATTATTATTATTATTACTAAAATTAAAAAACGACGATTCCTGGGGATTGTTTTTAATCAAGTTGACAAACAAAATATTGAGGCGTCGGCTAAAATAAAAAGTCCCTCATGCTCATTTGCACACCAAAATTGCTTTAACGGGGTACTCACCTGGAACCCAGCTGAAACTCTCGTTTATGGTTGTCATTGTCCAGCTGAATGTTCTGCACCGGACCGCGTCATGTTTAAGTTGTAACGATATTCGATATGTCGCAATACATTGTACTGACCTAAATCATTAGTCAAAATGTTTCTGATTTCTCCTTGATGGCCTACAAACGACACCATAAATAAGAGATGCAGTTGGGTTTTGGATGAGTCTATTGTGGGAATCAAATTGGTGTTCATTTAAATGTAGTTCTCGAATTTCGTGTAATCTGGGTTGAAGTGGGACACAAGGCTGACGGAAACTTGGGGACTGCACCTACTTGATGACCCCCAAGAAGAGTGAAACCGGTCGTGGGCCTTCGAAGGTATTTCAGCGAGTTTATGGGTGGTTTGTTGCTCCTAAAGCTAAAGATTATCGGGACACAGGTCAGCTACAACATATTTGAAAATAATGAACTTTTGTGCAGCCTGTTTGTGGTTCTACGATGACTTATTCCCAGTACTCACCAAAAGATGACCCGTTCGACCAATGTACCTTAGGTTTGGTCATTCGTATTCTTCTCTTTATGCGGTATAACTTGTCACCTGAATAACACGGGTATATTTGTCCGCAATAATTACAAATGAACTGGTCGAAGGTTGGAGGTGCACTCTGCGACACTCACTATAAGGACCTCTACAACTGATTCTGCAGCACTTCAAAGTCTAGTACCTCAAACTATTATTGATTTTCCTGACAGCTCCAGTGCCCGCCCTGTAGAAAAAATAATCGAGCTGAAAAACTGGCGGTAATTGGAACGAGTTTGAGATAAAAACTTTACATATCTGCCAATGAGTTTTCTTAACGAAGAGACCAACAGACGATGGATTTTGACAGTGATGAAATCATGCTGACGATACAGCACGTCAAGCCCAAACTACCGCTTGAAAGTTCTGATCGAGAACGCACCGTCCACAGTAAGAGTGCTAATTTGAGGAGTTTTGGAGATCATAAATAAGAAAATATCTGTGGAGTACGAAGAATTTCGAACCCACAGGACAGTGCTGAAATTCCACAGAAATTGTCTAGAGAATGCATCTGTCAAAAAACTGACGTGGAAACAGAGCAGTTCATTCGTTCCAACGGTCTTACTTCCTGTTTGGCTCTGCAAACTTCTAAGTTATTTTCTGCAATGTGACTGGCTCGTTTCAAATCTGTCATCAAGTCATCGATCACGTGATCCTTCCTTGCAATCATTCGCTCCTGGTTTTTCACCAACTCTCGCAGGCTCAGTACTTGATCCCGCAGTTGTTGGGCTGTTAATAGAACGCTGAAAAAAAGTTGAAAAGAGTAGATTAGTGACGATACGATTATTATTATTATTATTACTAAAATTAAAAAACGACGATTCCTGGGGATTGTTTTTAATCAAGTTGACAAACAAAATATTGAGGCGTCGGCTAAAATAAAAAGTCCCTCATGCTCATTTGCACACCAAAATTGCTTTAACGGGGTACTCACCTGGAACCCAGCTGAAACTCTCGTTTATGGTTGTCATTGTCCAGCTGAATGTTCTGCACCGGACCGCGTCATGTTTAAGTTGTAACGATATTCGATATGTCGCAATACATTGTACTGACCTAAATCATTAGTCAAAATGTTTCTGATTTCTCCTTGATGGCCTACAAACGACACCATAAATAAGAGATGCAGTTGGGTTTTGGATGAGTCTATTGTGGGAATCAAATTGGTGTTCATTTAAATGTAGTTCTCGAATTTCGTGTAATCTGGGTTGAAGTGGGACACAAGGCTGACGGAAACTTGGGGACTGCACCTACTTGATGACCCCCAAGAAGAGTGAAACCGGTCGTGGGCCTTCGAAGGTATTTCAGCGAGTTTATGGGTGGTTTGTTGCTCCTAAAGCTAAAGATTATCGGGACACAGGTCAGCTACAACATATTTGAAAATAATGAACTTTTGTGCAGCCTGTTTGTGGTTCTACGATGACTTATTCCCAGTACTCACCAAAAGATGACCCGTTCGACCAATGTACCTTAGGTTTGGTCATTCGTATTCTTCTCTTTATGCGGTATAACTTGTCACCTGAATAACACGGGTATACCAGTTTTTATTGATACTAAAGTTCACAGCATCCATGTAAAAAGGAATTCAGTATCTTTTCAAGTAGGCAGTGCTTTCTGCGTACAATAGTAGTGTTTCATGCTTTGAAACTTCTTTCAAAGATCTCTCGTGCACCCTGAGATGAAAGGAGATCCTCGACAACGGTGCCTTGTTGAAGAGCACAGTAATATCAAGAGCTGAGGCGAAACACAGTTGGTACGGACAATTCTGTTTTGACTCCAGTGGGCCACAAAAGTGGATAGGTAGAGCAATTTATTGTGAAAATCAAGTTTTCTTGAGCGTTTGGAAGTGGTTAGAGATTTTTCGCCCACTACCGTAGTCAGCAAATTTGAAATCCGACGCTAACGCGAATAAGCAGTAAATCTGGCACGAAAAACAACTTGTATTCATTCTTTATACAACGCATAGCACGACCAAGTTCCTGCTGTTCATTTACCTTAGCCTTCTCACCCAGCTGAAACCTATCGGTATGATGTAATGTTAAGCACATTTCATACTACTTACACGCTCAAAGTAAAACAAGTTGCAATGCATTTGTCAATCAACCGAACACCCGGAAGGACGGCTACGTACACGATCGGTGTGGGGCACCAAAAGGACAATTCTGTTTTGACTCCAGTGGACCACAAAAGTGGATAGGTAGACCAAATTATTGTGAAAATCAAGTTTTCTTGAGCGTTTGGAAGTGGTTAGAGATTTTTCGCCCACTACCGTAGTCAGCAAATTTGAAATCCGACGCTAACGCGAATAAGCAGTAAATCTGGCACGAAAAACAACTTGTATTCATTCTTTATACAACGCATAGCACGACCAAGTTCCTGCTGTTCATTTACCTTAGCCTTCTCACCCAGCTGAAACCTATCGGTATGATGTAATGTTAAGCACATTTCATACTACTTACACGCTCAAAGTAAAACAAGTTGCAATGCATTTGTCAATCAACCGAACACCCGGAAGGACGGCTACGTACACGATCGGTGTGGTATCGGCACCAAAACAACCAATCACACTTGCGTGACCGGACAAAGTTAGTAGCCAATGAGCATGCGGTGATACAATCGAGTTATTTTTTCGTCGAGGGACTATCGAGGCGCGTTTTTGTGAGTGTTACTTTGCCTTTTAACCGTGAAGTAATCAAATTTAAAGCCCAACAACAAGCTGTTGGACTAAGTCTCAAGGGCTACAAGTGCTATGCCTCAAAATCCTCAGCTATACCGCATCGCAAGTAACGAAGGGAATATAATTTTTGTTTGTTAACAGCACGTGATCGAGTCACCAGAGCCCACTCAACCCATGGCAAATCCTCCTTCGAGGCGTGCAGAATCTACACTTCTGAACACGCTTCCCATTCAAGCCATTTGGATGCCATAAAAAGAACGAAATTTCAGCGAAACAGCACTTTGGTTCCGTGAGTACTGTTTCTTGCGAGTGCCGTGGTGTGTGAAATAACCCGGAAATTGGATAGCGCCGTCAACCGATCACCTGTAACCAAACGACTGCCCCATCACGAGGTACTGATGACTACCAACAAAAGTGCGCCAGAAGCTACGGCAGTTATTCAGAAAGACTAAGTCGAAGGCTAGTGATTAATTTATGGTGCATCTGTGGTCGCTGGCATTACTGATATTGTGTTTGATATAATACTGCGCAAATCACGTGCAAAGTTCATACACATTTTAGCTGGGTCAGTAGGGAATGATAACAAGGAAATGAATATGCGCCGATTGACCCTGGCATTTGAAAGGAAAAGTAAGACAGTTAACTAAGTTCCTGACGGTTATTACAAGCACATACATGTTTTCCGTACCGAGAACATTTGAAGCTGGTATCTCTTGCAGATAAACAAACTTGCCTAGACTTCATTAAAAACATAGATGTGGGACATGAAACCTAATCAAATGGCATCCCCACTATTGAGGGTCCGGTCTTCATAACAGGTCCCCAAAGGAAAAGAGGTGTGTAAATACTCAGATGGATTTCGCTGGAAGAGTAATGCTTATTCTGTTTAAAGTGTGTTAGGCTACTGGAGGTTAAACGTGTGAGGCTTAGTGGGCTTATTGATGGGAACGTACCTTTTCATTTCTTGATAAACAATAGTTTTCGTAGCAGTTTGTATCTCATCCCGGAAGCTTTTATACTTTTCCTAAAAAGTGAAAACGAACCATTATTACGATAAGGCTCAAATTCGAGGCTTGGGCTAACAGCGAATCTAGTTTACAACCGCAAAACCGCGTCACACAATTTTGTATAAACGTTGCAACTTTAATTCTATTGTTTCAAACAGCGCCGCAAAGCTTCGATTATTCATACTCCTTTCCGAGTACAGCACACAGCTATACAGACAAGCTTAAAAAACATCAGATGACTTGAATCAAAAGTTTTAGTAAAATAAGGACTTATAAACCTTCATAATCCATTTTGTTCGAACTTGGGGTGATGGCCGAGTATCGATGAAGAAACTTTCGTACTTGAACCGCTTTTATCGATCCTCAGCGTGGAATATCTGCGGTTAAAATTATATGGAACAGAAACAGCATTCAAGAAAACATGAAATGTTATATCTTGGATGGCGAGATATAATGCATGTTCTAGTAGACAGCTAAAGTCAGCATGTCCCACGCTGATAAAACTTCTTGCTCCAGCTTGTGTGCGTGGCTGAACAGCATTTGCCGTTAAACTGATCGAGGCACAGGATGACAACGTATAGTTGGGAAATAGCACCTTACATGCATGTTCAATCCTTTGACGTCGTTGTAGACTTGGTGGAATAAGATCGGCAATCAATCCGATGTATATATATATATATA